CCCCAAAACCCCAAAACCCCAAAACCCCATTAGTCTTAATTTGGAAAAGTAGAAGAAAATCAAAAAAAATAATATTAATAAAATAATCCCATATCATAAAAGAGTATTATCCTCTTTACTTTATTTTAAATATTTAGGATTATCTTTCTCGATATCCAATATCAATTCATCTATATCATTTAATACTTTAATAGGAGAGTTATGTTTTTTTACTGCATCCAATTTACTCAAATTCCTTTTGATACTTTGAGAGGAATTCTTTTGAACATTAAATTAGTTTTTTAGCAATTATTGGCTGCTAATATTTAAAGGAGTCTCAAAATTTATTTGACTACTCCAAACTTGACCTAATTCACCACTTGCTTTATCAGATATTTTGCCTAATGTCTTGACTTTTAGTTATTCATCATTGTCTGATAGATCAATATACTTCAGTATCCTCCTATCAATCTTGGTATGTTCTTTATTCTCAATAGTTTTCCGCAAGTATGATTTAATTTTACCTTTATCATTCTTATCTGGAGCATTTTAGACATTGAGTAAATTAGCTTTAAAGTATGGCAGCATGAATCTTTATTACTTGTTAAGTAAGACTTAGCTTATGAATCTTAAAGATCTTAACTGTTTTATTATATATCTTAGATCAAGTTCATGGTCAATTTTATCAATCCCTCTTTTATATAGGACATCTTTTTGAACTTATTCTTTACTAGCCTTTTTGCAGATTCTGAGGCGTATAATAGTCGATTTAAATGCATCAATCAAAGTGTATTTAAGTTTTTTCCTATTGCTAAGCTAATTAAACAGTTTCTAAAAGAGACCATGTTCTTTTGAAATTGTGCTCTATATATCATTATTTCCTATCTTATCCTCAAAAGATACATTTTCTTCCTCAAAATTTGTTTTAGTGAAGACTCTATCTTTAGCTTTCTACTGATTCATTTAGGAATAAGACTAAGATCCTTAATCACTAAAATTTTCTTGATAGACAAATAAACTTTTGACAAGCGAGGTGTAATACAAAGTTTTCTAAACATACTATATCATAGCATAGGCCACAACAATTATTATACTCATGAATCCTCCTGTATTCCCTAATGCATCTAAAATAGTCATAAGTTTCCTATTCACTGTCTTTACTTGATCGTCCATCTAAATATAGACTCCTATATAGGCATTATTATAAGCATCAATAGATTCTAGTTCTTGATCAATGCTGTAATCTATTTTAGTTTCGATAAATTTATCATTAACTACCTCGTCAAGTAGCAGATTATCCTATTTAATGATCTCATTTTGACTCAGAAGCATATAGTAGTACTTACTTGTACCATTTTTTGAAGTTAAATAATATGGTTTTAAGAATTTTTTAACTGATTCTTTTCCATAGTCATTCTCATCAAAGTAAGAGTTTTCAACAACAAAGTACAATTTAAGATTTGATGATACTTTCTCGATCTCCTTTTTTGATTTGCATTTCTTGGTGTGATTATAAACTTCATCAAGATAAGTTTAATTGCAATCTCTGACAGACAGTTAGATAAATTTTGACTGTTCCCCAGAAAAACTTCCTTTAATTTAATAATTGATAGTTTTGGGACATAAGTATCCATCTTTAATGCCGAGATAATCTATTTAACTCTCTTTTAATCCTAATCTTCCGAAGTTGCAACTCCCTAAATCAGTTTTGAACTTCTATTTTTGAAAAATAGAGTTACCCTTCTTATCTTTCACCCAAGTATAAATATTTTAACTTATCTATCTAACTCATCATTAAGATTGGATTTATTACTTACAAGTAAACATATTAGTCAAGCTCAACTTAAACTTAAGGTTCACGTTCATAAAATACATACTCTAGTCTCACTCCATAATCGAAGTCCTTCAAAGTTAAGTCATACTCAGTTGAATCCTTTATTAAGTCTCTTCTATAGAATGATGCCTAAATAGTAGCAGTTTTAGAAAAGACTGAAATCATCTACAATGCGAGATATACGAATACTCCTATTCTGCTTAGAATAGTCATTGATCCTCCAACAAATGACTTAAGATGAGGATCATTCTTGAATGTTAAGGACACTGGAATACCAAAACTGTCTAGGCTCTTTATGTAAGATTAGAGCTGCTTTGTACTGTAACGACTTGAAGATTGCTTAGCTTAAGTTTAAATCATGAAATAGACTATCTATTTTATATTCTTTTATAATAATTCTAAATGAAAAATATATTAATTAAGCCTTCAAAATCGGAAATACATTTTAAAAAATCACATGCCATAGTCGATCTGTCACTCTCGGGGTTTTGGGGTTTTGGGG